AATGGTGAAATATCCGTATTTTAAATAGTGATGCAATATGCCATAAGGCTAAAATGTGCATTGAAATAAGAAGGCCGATGAACTAAATCGCCAGAATAGGATAAGTTGAGTTACGTAATTAGTGATGATACTAAATCTAGGACATTGAGTATAGGAAACGGATACTAATCGGGCAGAACAGTGACAGCGTATGATCTAAGGGTTATTAGGGATTTCCCCCAAGGATAATTCAGCACAAAATCATGGAGGATGCAGTGGAAAATAATGTAAAGTTGGTGTTTATTGGTGGGTTGGAATCCCTTTTTTACTATACACCCCTGTGTGATGAAAAGCAGACGGGGCGAACCGAATTGCCACGAATACATGCTCTTCAGTGAAGGAAACCGGTAAACCAAGCCCCGGGACTTGGAGTGGCGAACCAGATGAAGCCCCGCTAAGTTAGACGCGAGTGATGCCATTGATCCTTCTGTTACTTACATACAAAGAAATCTTTCTCAAAAACTTGCTAAAAGGACATAATTTAAGCATTCAGTTCAATCCTACAGTTCACCCGGTTAATTTTGATTCACCCCAAAAGAGAACCCACGGAGACAGCTTACATGTGAACTGATAGACACCATGTGTGAATAGTTGTGAAGGTACTAAAGCTATTTATTCAACCACGTAGTCTAATTGAGACATGGTGAACTCGTTCAGGCAGAAGTTTGAGTTTCAATGCAGCTTTCGTGAATGAAATACGCCCGTGATGAATGGACAGTAAAACCAACCTGAATGACCGGTTCATCGCATGCACATTTGATACGAGCTGTCAACGAGGCACTGGAGTCACTTCGGAAAGTCTGATTACTGGCACTGCTCACTATCTTTGGCGTAGCGGACGGAAGCTCTGGTAATGCAAGTGGAAAAATATTGACAAGAAAGACCTCCAGATTAGGATTCGATTTGTACAGAACAGAACAGAACAAAACATTCGGCAACAATTGAGGGTGGATATTGGAAATTCTCTATGATCACAAGCGGTGTCGCTTTACTCCATGTGTGTCATTTAACGATAAGAAAATAATGGCTAGCAATTGTTGAATACACGACACTCAGCATAATTAGAAATGGAAGACTATTATTACCAGTGACATGAAAAAGCAAAATGATTTTGCATAAAATTTGAACTAAAATCCGTTCAGGTCAGCGCATCGGGTACCCCGTTTTCGTGATTATGCCTCGCCGATCATCACTCACATTTCAAGGAGACTACATTCACACCGTATTGGTGAAAGTTAACTCTCGTAGGTTAATCTTAGACTTTAAAGGAAGGATCTATTGTTTCATGAGCTTTTGATTCTGTCCCCGATAAACTAGGCAATTCCGAATTGTTTAATTTTCTCCACATTCCTGCAGAAGACTATTTTGTGAATGATTGCACTGTCAGTCGATCACGGTTCTGAAGTTTCTCTTTATTTCTGATGTCTGCATCCAGCATGTACGTGTGAGGGAAGAGTGTACCCATCAAGAGTTTCATAATTTCGTCCTAATTTGTTGGGGTAATTTGGTCTCAATCTGTTACAAATCGGACACTGTGCGTCCATAATGGCTGGGAACGATTGGAAAGAAAAAATCGCTAGAATAGTATGTTTCAACGAACATAGACATTTTCATTTTGTCTTCCTCTTCCTTAATTCCCATGGTTTGTGTCAAAGGACATAAATTAAATTTCTTTGTCATAAAGATTCACTAGATAAAGAAGATAACTGGCAACTTGGGTAGGTAGGTGGTCAGCACCAATCGTTAAGTAGAACTAACACTAACACACATTTTTCAAATGCAGGATAACCAAATTTCAGCGCCTATTGAATCAATTAATTTCCATATACATTGTGTAGCATAATCAGTTCTGCATTTCTGTGCAATTTCTGAATGAAAACGAATTTGAAAGTCCCCAGTCATGTAGATGGAAATTTATTTTTTGTTCATCAAAGTACAGTACTTTTGGCACGTACAATCCAATCCATAAATAAATGATAAGTCCAATGAACAATTTGCATGCTGGTCTCACTTTTAGACTCTAGCTTTAGCCGAATTCTGTTTTCATTCAGATGTCCCTCCCTCCATCAACTTCACCCTCCTCCTTCATTCGTTCAACTCAATTCATGAGTCAGCTCGTCCCGTCGTGCATGCTAATTTACCTGNACACACACACACACACACACACACACACACACACACACACACACACACACTCACACACAAGTACACTGATAAGACAGTATCTGTTCTCTGCCCCACAAAACTGGAAAACCCAAAGAATGTGTTCTCGATGAATGTTGTGAACCTACTCAACTTGAACTTAACCCACTGGTGTCAACCTTAATCGATTTCTTCCAATCGCTATGGTAACCTCAATTACAAGTGGAGATATCTTGAAGACAATCATTGCTGTGGTAGGTGTTACATTTATCATGCACATTTACTGGATATACAGCAAACTACGCGATCAAGATTTCAGGCCAGCTCTCAGAAGTGAAACTCTTCGGTATACATCTCCAGTCTCGGTTTAAATGAAAAGGACGAAAGCACTGTTCAGTACGTTTGGCCAGCTGATACAAAATTAAGGGAACAACCGTGATTTGTACCAGAGTGAACTAATCCAAGCAAATGCTATTTCTGTCGAATACNGCTATTTCTGTCGAATACATTTTGCTTAGTGTATTTTTCACAGATTTTACTGAGCTTCATAATTCATCCAATATTGCTAGCATATCAACTAACTGCATTTTGTTTATCCCAAGCACGGAGTTAATTCGGCATCAGATTTTCGACATCGCTATGCATTCTAGTTCAAGCGAATTCTTCTGTTCAAAAATACTCGGAGTGATATTGTTCAGTTATTATATAAACATGCCAACAGATGCGGGCACAATTACTCGCGCACAACCATGTATCGGCCAACGGTGATTTCGTTTATAGTTAGATCCCCCCCCTTGTCATAGTTCTGTATTCTGAGAATTAATTCTACTGATTTCTCAACTGACCAGTCATTGTATTTTCTGGGGTTCTCATCAATTTATTTAGTTATTTCGTATATTCTCCACTGTTTTATTTTCATATCTATCCCTGATCTGATGTGGAAAAATAGCTTAATGCCGGAAATTCTCCGCTGAGATGAATAAAGTGAGCGCTTTGTTTGGACTTGACTTTGATCTGCTGAAAACCACTGATCCCCGCTGACAATTAGATTCTTTTGAAACTGTAACGAGTCACTTTACGGACCGACGGGTGCACAGTGATGATTTCATTCAGTAGGTTGTATTCTATCACTACCCACACGTAATCTGTGCTTTAAAACAGACCCACAGAGCATTACTCCTAATTGCTTGTGCCATTAGAACTGTGTGTAAGTATATGCATAAACTGTTGAAGGAAACGATGTTCTTGTGTGTGTGTGTGCGTGTGTGTGTGTGTATGTGTGCGGATCATCTACTTTGACGGACAAGTAACCAACCAACTGATTGGCTTTTGGGTCCCAAAACCAAAGCGAACAGCTGCAGTTTCCTGTGTGACCACTGTCAATCACAAACATATATAAGGATGCTGGTGGGTTGCTTTTTCAATTCAAATGTGGTTTGTGACATAGTCAAAAGTTGGTCGTTCAAATCAGCTCTCGCATCGCGGAAGGATTGGGCAATCTGCCCTCTCTCTCTCTCTCGCACGCGCGCTGTATTCATTTGTATAGGTCCCGTCAATCTAGCTTCGTTGCGTTTGCCTCAGAGTAGTGTCACTTAAACTAGCTACTTGGGTCTTTCGTCGAACAAAAAACTACTACCAAACAGCGAACAATCTCTCAGCAATTTCAAACATCCCATGTGGTCTCGCTCGCATCATAAATGCCATCTACGCGTTTTTTTGTTTTCAGAAAGGTGCGCCAACAGGTAAGCATCGTTTTCCCAGGATTGACGACTACTGTCTAATCTCCCACCCGGCTCAAATTTTCCAATAGCTAGTAGGTGTCTATCAGCGAAAATGGTGGGGGCCTCCAGAACATTAAAACTTTGTTGTACGCATATAAAGCTCTATTGTGTTTAGACCAGTGGATTAACCGTGCAACTTAGTTTGAACAAAAATTTGGAAAATGTTTGCTCCGAAAAATCTCCTGTTCCAAATAATTGGCTTAGTTTTCCATAATGTTGGGATTTTGTTCATAGATTTTGATTGGATGGATAGTAACCAGGATGAATTTTTTAACCGGTATTCTACTGATTCGTTCAAACAAACAATTAACTGTTAATCACTAAAATGCCTTTACAGTTCATTCATGTGTTCAGTTGAGAACAGTTACGTACCATATCTGATGCATGTAATGTTGAGTAGTTGTAGCTCAAAGTAAGACTGTCAATGTTGGTATGTTCTTCGAGCGAGACCTATCGCTTGTAAAGGTTTGGGAATCATGCTGGATAAAATTATCGGATTGGGCTACATTTTCCGTACACCGAGCTCTCCGGCACTTCTTTAATCAGTTTCTAACGATTTTCTGTTAGCCAGATCACTACTTTTATTTTGACCTCAGTTTGCAGATTATGATGAGTTTACTACTCAGGTTGGTGTTCGAAATTGTGGGTTTACCTAAGTGTGCTAGTCTTTAACCAAGTTAAAGTTATCCGGAGGCTGTAAAACATAAGGTCACTCAGACTACTTGAAACCGACTTCATGAAGTACTTACCAGTCACAACCAAACGATACGTATAATTTAAACTGCCTCCTAGGTTGGAAACCTGGCATGTGTAGTGTCCAGTGTGTTCTCGACCAACATGGTCAATAGTCAGTACGGGTCCTCGTGCACCTTGACTTGTAGTGATCCAGTCAGCAACGGTATTACCCATAAACCAACGATAGCGTATTGGTTCGGAACCTTCGGCTTCACAGCTTAACCGAACCATCGATCCTATCGACTTTTCAATAGTATTCACGGGGTTTTGCTTCAACTTCGGGTCGATAAAACAGGGAGCTGTAGACAGAATAGTGGTAATTGAGCAAAATGGGGAAATTGCTTAAGTTGTGTTGGAGAGCAAAACAAATAGCATATTCATACACCTGAGGTTTCACATCTACTGCTAGAGGTCGTTCAGTGATATAGAAGCAGACTTGGGGTCATTATCAGTATTTAAATAGGCTTCCTGCGAAGTGTTTTCAGCGCGAGGGCATCTCTGCAAATCTATAAGCCGTCAGTAATCCATTTATGTACTCCACTTTAGCCACGATTTACTCATCCTTCTCGGTTGTACCCAACAAAACAATATGTTTGGGAACATTTAGATCAATCCTGCCAGTCCGTGTTGAAGTGAAGTTCCATTTTCACCAATTCAGTTGAATGGACCGTTTTGACCATACCTTACAGGGCTTCTCGTGATTTGTCTCGTTTTCTTTTTACCTCTATTGCTTCTAGGGTGGTGGTGGTGGCTCACTGGTTTAGTCGCTGTTGCCGGTGAGCTTTGAACCCCATCATCCGAGGTTCGAACTCCGCCNCTTTGCTGTCGTCCGGTTCAATAACGCGGTTATTCTAACAGAGCCTTATGGGGTTCGCCACTCCCGGACTTAGGTTGTCCACTTCCGTTACTGAATAGCAGGTTTACGCGGCTTTCGGGATCAGCCCGTCTACTGCTCATCACACACAAAAATATATATAATAAAAAACATACAACCCAACATGCATTGCAATTATGGCTTTGGCTTAGAAAATTACTCGGTTAAATCATTGATTCCCTCCGGTTGTGCGATCTCATCAGTATTTAAAAAGACGCTTAAGCCGCGTTTGTTGCAGTTAGTAGTAACTAACCCACCTACAAAAAATCGAATCAAAATATTGAATCAATAAGCGACTGACTTTGAAAGAGCTGTCCAAACAAATTTACCCGGTGTTACAACCGAGATTTTGTGACGAAAATGCACTTTATATATATATATATCTTCAGGAAGGTAAAAGTAGTGATCCAAAGGATTGCTCGATAATGTATAGAAAATGGTGAAAGTTATGCGACGGTGGGGGGATTTGAGCCTCGTCTCCTGAGGTGACAATGTGATGACTTTGGCCAATTGACCACTGCCTTCCACAGGTATTTATATTTTATCTGTATTAAGTGATCTGAATAAATAGGTAGAATTGGCGAAGCTTAGTTATCAACCATGGTCCACTTCCGAAGATTCAACAGAATTCAAGTTCGACGATTGATAAGTGAACTAGGCGGAGAAAATCCTCCGTTTGGAAATTCAATTCGCTTCTATTTTTACCTTGAACCTTTAGTACTGCAGTGTACTATTCGTCTGTGACAGTCGCAACCACCTCCAAATGGAGTGATCAGATCTGTAATAACCGAAACTATCGAAGTTCTTCCCCTGTGTGTTAAAATTATCACATATTGACAGCTGTTTTCCGGGGTCGGGATGACCAAGTGGTCGATTTGCGTCTCAGCTATACACGATCATCATATGTACACACACACACAGAACACTTCTGACTAAAACCTAGCTGTGCAGAAAACTGTTGCGTCCTCTGGTTACTCGGGGGTGTGAACTAAACGCGATTGTGCGCCACAGGGATGCAGTACGCTGTATAGCGTCACCGAACAAACAAATATTGCTTTTGGCTAAATTGATATCCGATTGGACGGACAGTTCAGCGGGTGCATGGATTCCCCATTATCTAGCCATCGATGTGACCACATCACATCACAGCAGCCGACATCACGGCATTCTCTCTCGGCAAGCAGACATCTTTCGAGTGCCCTCCCGTCGAGCAGCTTAATAAACCGCACAGCAGGGGTTTTAGATTGTGAATTGTAGTTTGTGATTTTCAACCCAAACACACACACAGTCCGAATTCCGAGGTTAGTGTGTTTGTGTGGGGTGGGGTGGGGGGGGCAACCGGAACAGATGTATCACCTCGTTTGTGCTACTGTTCTGTTCGGTCCGTCAACTGCTGACCGATCGGTGTGCCACAGTTAACTGATTGGCCAAACGTTGTCAACTACGCTGATCCACTGATCTTACAAAACTGTTCGAAACTTTGCTTAGGTAAGAAAATTATCCATTTTATGAGTTGCACTTAACTCAGTATTACTCGGAATCTTTAAATTTATTTTGTATCACCTAAGCAAATTGGCTGATATCAGGTTACGCGTACTGATAGTCTCTTTATTATCTTTACATTGTCCCACAGTACTCCCAATGAATTGGACATTTGCGTTTCAAAGTGAGGCAGTAACTGAACATGTTTTAGTGGACACACAAATGTCCTGCACCATGCAGTTCAAGAATGCTTCGTGAAAACCAGAGAGAATTTGAGAAATAGAACGGATAGATCAACCGCATCCTCAAATCATTCTATAATTCTAATAGCCACGCATTTGTGACTTGCTTTCCATGATCTGTTGCACATCCCCTAATAGGGTGATATTTCTCGACCATCTAAACACCTTGCGTTCAACTATCCGCTATAATCCTTTGATTGAACGTCATTGCGAAAGCCAAACCGAGTCTGCCTGATTAGTTTTGTCCTTGGTGTTTCTCATTTTTGTTGGTGTTGGTCGTTTGATTTCCGAAAAATTGCTTTTGTCTATCTGTCGAAAGCATATGTTTTGGTATCCGCGTTTGAATCTTGTGATTAGGATAGTCACGTTGCAAATGATGACAATGATGATGAGATAGATGATTATCATCTGGTAATTGGTCTGAAGCACCCCACTCCTCATAGTTTCCTTCACTCGGACTGGGAGACCCCTTATAATACTCGGTTCCCCTCGTTAGGAGATTAATCCCCCAACTCACCATCTGAGGTAGGAATGTGATTTGAAATGCCATTTCTATATTGCTTGTTATGATTTCTTTTGTTTGTAGCCATATGTCGTGCTACATTTTCTCCTTCGTGCGTTATGCTTATGATTGTTGTTGTTGTTGTTGTTGTTGTTGTTGTTGTTGTTGTCCTCTTTATCGTATCATTTCTGCTGTCACTACAGTTTGCTATCAACCACTTGTCCGAACATTTACTATCAATATTGGTTCTGCAGTGATGGAGAACGTCCACATCAAGATAGCTCAACCCTAGCGCTGCGATAAGTGAGAGTGAGACACTTGCACACACATGATCGGCGCACTTGCCTCCGAAGTGTTGTGTATGTTTTTCCGGCGAAGAGGAGTGGGTTTGGTGAACCACGGTTGTTTGGTTTGGTTTGGTTAAGACAAGCTGTCAAATCGTGAATGGTTGGATGATCGAAGGCGTTTATTTTGCATTTAGCTGTCATTCTTTAACTGGCTGTCCGTCTAGGGGGAACACACGAGGATGGAGGTGCAACACGTATGCATGTTTGTTTGTGTTTGTGAGGGTCGATACCAGTGTTTGTGTGTATGTGTGTATGTGCCAGTTGTTTCTGATGAATTTGAACTCGGGTGCTATCATGTGCAACTCCTTGAATGAATTGGATGCAGCAAAATGAGACCTGTCAAATTTGGTCGGAAATGCTTTCCGGTCTGCTCACCTTCGTTTCGAAGTAATCCAGAAATTGGATTCATTGGTAAATATGAGCGCGATTTCCATATACGAAATACTTAGGTTTGACTGATCAGTTACCACTGTCAAAATGTTTCATGGTCCGAATGAAGAGCGTTTAGGAATAAATGAATGGTACATGATGCAGAGGATCCTTTTTCGGTACAGGCCAGTGCCCAGCTTAAGTAAGCAGACGTTTAGAAGAACGGGGATCTAATCAACAATGATACGGTGGCAATAGAAGACAGAAGTAAAAGCTATGTTTGCAACTAAAACCTTTGTAATTTGTAATAGTTTTTCAATTATGGGCTGATGCGATCACCACCGAATGACCTAATTGTTTGCCATGCTCAAGGAAAACACTAATACCCTGAGACAGTGACCCGCTTCGTGTGCTCAAGCCTACCGTATCAGTACAACGAGGATGTCAATCGCGTCGACAACAGGTAATACACAAACAACTTTAGGTAGGTATATCCTTCGAACAAAATATTACCGGTCAGTCAAACTCACCTTTAACGTTTGGATGTAACGGGGATTGTGTAGCGCACAACAAATTGGCGTTGGGATCTGCAGATGGAGGCAAAACAGAAATGTTAGAGTTGAAAAATCACCAAACAATTTGAAATATTGCAGAGGGAATTTGTCGTATATAGAGCAAATAAAGCGTAAACTGGAAGTGCTACTGTACAACTGTTCCGACCTGGTTGGGTCTCATCAGCAGTGCGAATCCATAGATCCACGCGGGATCGAACCCGGGACCTCACAGACAGAATGCAAGCACACTATCCACTTGGCCATCTAGCAGCTGAAAAATATTCGGTCAGTCGACATATTCATTAGTGAAAAATGCGTCAGAAGCTAACAATTTGCAGGTAAATAATATCTTTTTATCGAGAGTAATTCGTTTTTACACCAGACTTGCACGTGATGTGATGCATCATTCTCCGGACATCGAAAAGGGAATTTTCGGGGTACACCAAACCTATTCTATTGGAGGAATGCTTTGAATCTGAGACGAGCTTACAAAGCAACGCCCTCATTCCAAATAAGGGTTTATCACAGATGGAAACAGAATTCGTGGAACACAGTAAAGCTTACAACTTGGTGGGCAATTTCTAAACAATTAACGGCAACAACTCTAACGACTCGTGATATTGTATCTTGCTTGTTTTGGAATGATCGAAACAATAGCTCTCAGACATGACCATTAGCTCACATCACTTTATCAAAGAATCGAATTTGTTAATTACGCAAACACTGCTGCCTTGTCTCCGGTCAGTTCTGCGTAATTTGTTCGATACTCCGAATACAAAGGGCACGAGAGCATGAGGGAGAATGTGACCAGTAATGTTTTCCACTTCATCAGTTAAATGCTGTACGAACAACGAGTGGTGTCGCCGGAAGGCCCATATAAAATAACCCGAACTCTATTTTGCGTGGACCGCACCGTTTACCTTGGAAAAAACCATGGGGGAAAATAGAAAAGATTAACTGTTTGAACACCTTCCGATAAGATAATCAATTCAAACTGAACCGCATCTAAAAACGTCATTATTCGATCCCCCATATAAAGACTGCCCCAACTATGTATGACCATACACCACATCCCTGAAGAACTGATAGATACATTCGCAAATAAATGCAAGTCTTAATAAAAAAACGCTAAAAGATATTGCATTCATGTTACCCTGGTCTGATCGAGAACATGAGAACAACGCATTGAAACGTAAACCTACATTTTCGTCTGATAAATTTTAGTATACCCCTTATTGACGCGGACGTGGCAACGGGAAACGAGAGAAGATGAACACCATTGCGTTTTATCGCCAATATAACTCCCTGTTAATTCCTGTTCGATCAGTAAACCGGGTACAGTTTGCGAGTGTTGTGCAACGACGATAAACTCGTCAGAACATGACTGTATGAGTAAAAGATTATCTTACTTTTACGGAAGTGAAAAATAAACTTGGTATTAGTTTCATCCGAAATCTACGAGAATGAAACGATTGGCCAATATGTATCTGGCCACTACAAAGCAATCAAATGGTGAACTTAGGAAACCAAGACAAAGTTTTCTCCACAGAACAATCAGCGTGCCAAAAATTCAGAGAAAAGCCAGACGGGATAGATTCGAATGCGGTTCGTTTTTCGACTCTGAGGACAAAACCAGCCTCCAGTTTAATATGATTTTAACGTTTCGGTCAGTCGTAGCAAGTACAAGTTGAATGCAATACGACCCGGTTTTTAGTACTATTTTACTGCACAGAAACATCGGAAACGGAGCACCACAACCATAAATGTAAGCTTTGAAAGGATGGCTGTTGGCCTCCCAATTTGTGTGGAATCAACACGGCGATGATGATTTGGATGCTACTGCCGATGGTGATGATGATGATGATGAGGAGGAGGAGGAAGGGCCGGGGAGGAGGAATATATCCACATTAATCTAAGGAGTGGCACATGCAAACAGCTTATATTAAAAACTGAGGGACGAATCATTTTGACCTCAAGGTATTCGGTAAATTATCTTCCAGGCTTTCATCTGTTCAACAAATGAGACTTTTAATCTACTACATGTCAACGGGTTTGAAATTCTTGTCGTGCACACCATATGGTGTCGGAAAAAGCACCAACTAGTACATCTGTCCTAACAGTTGTGGACCACAAGTTGACCCAGTTAAGTTCGATCGAATGTCAAAACATGTCAAAACACCACACGATATCGAACTGTGTGGTTTTGCACGAGGACAACAGCAAAACACAGAAGGACGGTATTTGTGACATTATTCATGCCCAGTTTGAAACAAAATTCCGAGTCAAACAATCGCTATCAAATCGTATTGCACGAAGATAAATTGTTCGGGGGAAGAAGATAGTAAATTTTAATGTGAGATGCCGAAGGCTACTGTTAAAGGCTAGGCCACACTGATGCGTAACTCAGCTCGGCAAGCTCAGCTGATGACATCGGTGGTGCAGTGATACCTCAGCATAAGATGACAAATTCTCTACTTCAAGGAAGTCGGAAACCGCAATCATCTAACAGACCCGAAGTGATCATATCGCGATCTTAGTGTGCATAGACTGATAATTCATTCAAAATTATCCCTCTATTTTTTATATGTAGAATGTCTCGATAGGTTTTGTGCTCTTACGGCTCTTTATGTAGGCATACAAACCAACTGTGGTCTGCTCATTCCAACCTGGGGCGGGGCGATTTCATTCTTCCGAACCGGATTGAATTGAACAAAACGGGCGGAATTCTCATTTCACTACCCTCTTCCTCCACCACTTCCGCCGCCGCCACCCTCCGCCCGCTCGCCAGCCCGTCCCCGCTCCCTCTTGCCCTGTTTCGTTCGGCTCATGCAAGCGAGCGATTCTGTGGGAAATCTCAGTCTCAATGCGAAATGAGACTGCTTTCAGCGTGACTGGGCCACTCCATATAGTGGTGAACTCATACGGCCCGAGCAGGCAGTGAATTCACGTGCATCCAAAAGGACTCTTTGGTTGGAGGAAGAAAATGGGGTGTGTGATCTTCACAACTTATGAATGAACAACCGATGGTGTGTCGGTGTGCGTATATGAATGTGACAGTTTAAGTCACAATGCTCCTGTGTGGTTACCTTCAATCCCTGATACGTCTCACATCCGCCTCCTTGAGGTTGTGTCCACGATTTCGGGGGTAGAAGTAGGAGAGACCGTCTAATGTGTACTTACTGTTGGAGTGCCCGTACAACCCCTCTGTAGCCAATATATACTCACACACGCACACATATACATCCAATCTAATCGGAACAATTGTGAGTCCACTCAGGCAAAAATAAGAAGAGTAAGGGGACAACTATGAGCGAGGGGAAAAAACTGAACGAGGTACTTCAGTAGTCTGGTCATTGTATGCATGCATACATATTCGCATGTGCTCTGAGTGTTTACTTGTGTTTCTGCTGGGTTGCGTATGCGTGTACAGCTCTATGAGCGTATACGTGTAATCTATCTGGCGGGATGAATGAAGAGCTCGAGTTGATTCCACTTCAGTTATCATGACCGAGCTAGGCAGACACTGGTGTTGTTGAAGAGGGCAACAATGAAGGATCCATTTCCGTTTTTCAACCCCTCGTCAGGCATCGTCAGCCTATCATCATAAATCATCCAACGATCGGTTCACTCGGTCAGGTGTTCAGTTCTCCACGTTGAAACACGGTTGACTGAACTATTCACCAAAAATTCATTCATCCATTCTCAATTATACATATATATATATATATATATATATATATATGTACGCAAACATATTAAACGATGGAATTGCTCTTGGGTAGGCTAGTATTGCTTTCAAGTGTTCACCGTTCCGATAAATACTAAACGTTTGATGAAACAATAGCCATGAATGAAAAATGAATGAATAAATCATGCTTGAATCACATTTTGCGTTATTTTTATTTATTTGATTAACAAATATGCGTTTAATTTTTGGAAATGAGCTCCAGATGATCAAAGTGTTTCCGGGGAATAGACAATATGGATGGTTGTGGAGGAATTCGAACTGTGGACCTCCAGTTTGCTGCTTGAATGACCTTATCTATTAGAGAACACCCGTTTAAGCGCAACAGAACCGATGAACTTAGTCGAAGCTTCATGGTCTTTTCCAGTTGACTCCATATATTTTCATCGTTTCACTCCATCCTCAATGCGACTAATCTATCTTGATTAACGGTTACTCAGTAGAAAAGGGATGTCATCCACACTCTTTCAATACTTAACCACGGAAACATGTCCATCCAGGGATGGAGTCAACTTGTGGCTTATTGACCTCATGGGATTATTATTATTATTATTATTATTATGCATTGGGTCATTCTTTTCCTTTTTTACATTGACCACTATAAACAGCGGTCGTTCTTGGTTGTTCATTTAATTTCAAGCGCCCGAAATGGGTGCACACTTTTAATGCTACTGAACCTCAATAAAGCAATGTGTTACAGATATGTGTGCGATAACAAAAGATAGACTGACTCCCACGTGATTTCTCAATCGGATAGTGGTAATATTCTTACCTCGGATATGTACGTCAAATGTAACTTCACGTTTGCCGAAACCGGTCACTCCCATGCAAGTGTACGTCCCTGAATCGGATAGTTCCAGGGGGACAATCACCTCCAGCACTCGGCGATTATCACTAAACCGATATCGGGGATCTAGGTCCAAAGCATAGTCCAATCGATCTCGAACTTGCCAGTGATAGAGTACGGGTGAACCGTAGTCCGTGTGGGACTCAGGCACTAACGGTTCCCCCGTGGATATTAATCGACCAGACGGAGTACTGTGAATTGGACATTCCAGGCGTAGATGACCACCAATGTCGAGACGAATCTGTTTATTGTGATTTGTTACCACGGGCACATTCGAATCCGCAACTGTGAAATGTTGTGTGTTTGCGTGTTAATGTGCGTGTGGATAGGGGGGAGCGGAGACAGGGGCGGGTGAAGCAAGCGGGACAAAGTGATTGAGCATTGTTGTGAGTTCAAATGATTGCCCTGGATAAAACAAACAATAATGTGGAAGACATGATTCACGGACAGCTTGATGTCGGTTGATTTGTTCTGTACAATCAAAGTAGTGTGTCACGCAATAAGCGCCAATTACATTTTAAATGTGTGCATATTCTGTGCATTCAGGGTTAAGAAGCCGACCACCTGTGCGCTCAGTAGACAAGCTCAAGTGAACGAATGTTGGAACGGATAAGTCAACCACAACAACAGAATGATTCGATAAACACAGGTTTCAGCTGCCACAAAATCGGAGCACAAATGGGGTCTTTAATTTGTAGATGAAGACAATGAACCCACATGAATGATGTGAAAACCTCCATCTGTCAACTATTTCGTTTCGTGCTTGTTTCCTCGCTCTCCACTCTTATAAACCATGAGATCGTGTTCCCCTTTCCCGAAATTGTGAGAACGGGGAGAAATTAGGAATGCAACATGGTTCAGAGTGGAAGCTAATGCTGGATTGTTGATCCGTCAACTAACAACCTAGAGGAGGATGCGAGACAACTAAATTGGTTTCACCATTGTTTTCATTTGGAACCCCTCTCCCTCAAACAGCTCAGCCTCCCCCCCTCCACATCGGAGCAAACAAGTTGTCCTAAATTGAACTTAATTATACATGTCAGGCCTAACTGACATCCTGAGCGCCTTGTCGTGTGAACTTAGTTCAACTCTTGTCATGGTCTGTCTTGTGGTGACCT